TACTTTTTCACAATATTCTTTATCTTTTCTTTGCCTCTGTTTCTGTTCCCTATTAAGCAATCTCTCATTTTCTCTGAATGAAATGTTACTTCGTTTAGCTTGCTTTCTTAATCTTTCTTTTTCAAGAATAATTGGGTTTTCTCTGCATTTTCTTTTTGAAATTCTACTGCCCTCTTTTTCTTTTTCTTGCACTTCAACATTCTGACGTTTTAACTTTCTACCAGCTGTATTCAATTTCTTTTCTTTCTCTTTAATTTCAGCATCTTGTCGCTTTAACTTTCTACCAGCAGTATTCATTTTCCTTTCTTTCTCTTTAATTTCAGCATCTTGTCGCTTTAACTTTCTACCAGCAGTATTCATTTTCCTTTCTTTCTCTTTAATTTCAGCATCTTGTCGCTTTAACTTTCTACCAGCAGTATTCATTTTCCTTTCTTTCTCTTTAATTTCAGTATCTTGTCGCTTTAACTTTCGACCAGCAGTATTCATTTTCCTTTCTTTCTCTTTAATTTCTGTATCTTGTCGCTTTAATTTTCTTGCAAACCTATCCATTTCCCTTTCTTTCTCTTTTATTTCTACATTCTGTCTTTTTAACTTTCTTGCAGCTGCTTCTCTTTCATTTTCTTTCTTTCTTATTTCAGCATTCTGCCTTTTTAATTTCCTTGCAAATGTTGCAATTTCAGTTTCTCTGCTTTTTATATCATCATTTTGTCTTCTAAACTTTTTTTGCATGTGATTCTTTGTTTCTTTCTACTTGCTTAAATTGTACATTCTGTCTTTTTCTCCTCATGTACTCTCTCATATACCTTTTTCTGCATAAGTTTTGATCTGAATTTGTCACAGATGAAAGATGATTATCCATTTTGTAAAATGTTTTCTGCAATGGGCTTTTCTCTGGAAAACTATGATCCAAAGTCTTAATTGAGATTGGTAAGATTTCAAACTGCATTGCAAAGTCTATATGCATGCTGTTATACATACTGTACAAATATGACACCAAATCATCAATACCCTTGCTTTGTACTAGTACTGATTTACCATCACAGGCAGACATGCCATCACTGTCATGTGCATGAGCGTCAAAAAAGTAATATTCATTGCTTGACACTTTGTACAGAGCAGGAAACTAATTTTGTTACAGCATCGATGCTGATTTGAATGCTTCCTTTGCTTGCTGATTTGAATGCTTCCTTTGCTTGCTGATTTAATGCTAGTAATCCTTATCCTGATGCTGTTTTATAATTAGGTCAATGCTACCGGAAGTAGCATCATGCTACCGGAAGTAGATAATGAATTTCAGCATTGCCATTTAAAGCAATAAAAGTGCCTTTTACAATTATCTGATCATAATATCTCACTATGTATCAATAATGTGAATACTTTAACCAATATTCTTTCTTTCTTTTTTAATTTTTTACTGAATTAAAACTCATTGATTTTCTAATGCTAGTAGGATAATGCTGATTTTATGTAGGTCAATGCTGGTTTTATCCTTTGCTTGCTGATGCTGATCCTGGTAATGCTGTTTTTTAAATGCTGATGCTGATGCTAGCTCGATCCTGATGCTACTAATGCTTATGCTGATGCTGGTTTATGTAACAAAATTAGTTCCCTGCACTGTATATACCTGAACATATAGCTCCTATCATTATCAGCAAATATCTAGAAACCTGAAATACCTGTTCTAAAGCTTGATGCAATGGTTTCACTTGACTGTTTTGTTCTTCAGGAACAAGTAATCCCCACATGGTTTCAAATTTCTCAATGACATGATGATTTTCTCCTAAAGTTAAGTTACTTGGCAACTCATCAAATTTAAGAAGTTTGTTAAGAAACATTTGTCTTTGCAGCAAATTCTTGACCAACATAATATAAACCTGATCTCCTGCTATTAAAGTGCTATCAATAAATTCAGTTGAGAATGAAAATCCTTCATAACTTTTAATCAGCATAGTAAGAGCATTGCAGGTACACTGACTTCCTCTTGAAAAAGATGAAAACCTTGCATCTCCTTGATGAAATGACCCAAATGCTATTTTTGTATTGCATACCTGGTTGATTTCATGACTGAGTGATTTGCTTTCTTCAGCCATTACACCACAATTGTGTACTACAGTTTTAGTAATTAAGGCATTGTTTGTAAAACTTTTTTCGACATTGTTTTGTAAATTCTCTTCAACAGATTTATTGAGCAGATCTTTTTCACAGAGTTCATTGAGCAGATTTGTTTCACAAGTTTCTTTGGCTTTCCTGTTTTTTTTGTAACCTGAGGTCAGGCTCCTCAGGGTCAACATTGGTTTTACTGTTTTGAACGAGGCCAGTCTCCTCAGTCATTCTAATGTCAGATATTCTTTTACTGTTTTTTAAAGACACCAGTCTCCTCAGTCAAGTCCAGGTCAGACATTGTTTTACTGTTTTTCATGAGGCCAGTCTCCTCAGTCTTGTCAGTCCGTATCTCTTTCCTGGCACCTCTCATCCTCCAATACTTTCTTCTGGGCATCTACAAAGGACAAAGTTAATAATGAATATTGATACTGCGGATGTACAGTCAAGCCTTGTTAATATAGACACTTATTATCATATGGGTTTATGAAGCATTAGGAATACCAAAATTTACCCCAAATTACTTGTAGATATAAATGTTCTGTCCCCCCCCCCCCCAGACCTCATCAGGAAGGTGAAGTATCCTGATTACCATGGCTCAACTGTACATCCTTCTATATATTAGAAAAGGGAGGAAAGAAAGGGGAAAAGAACTTTTTTTCTTCAATTTCTGAATAATCTTAAAATTTCCAACCCATTATTAAAATGACCTATCAGGTAAATAGAGTGATCAGTGGACATATCATCAACATAGTTAATATTTTATGAAAAAACAAATGATAGGCAGTATTAGCAAACAAGGTCATTGTATAAACCAAAATAGAATAGGAAATTGTCTATTTAAAACCAGATTTTTGATACTTGCATTGCTAGACTCTGAGTGTGACATCTTACAATATTGCACAGAGAATTCCTATCTCATTTTTTTCTTCTATTTTTAAGAAATGGGCACATCGTTCTGTAACAATTGATGCTCTATAAGAAAAACCGAAATGTTCCATTCAAATGAAAATTTTACCATTTCAATGCACATCACTGTTACATGCATAATTGTTGCCATATGACTGCTGACCTTGATTAAATGAACTTAAAATGAAAAGTCTTCTATCTGTTAAATACATAAAGATCAACTCTGTGATGAATATTCATGAAGATAAAATGTAATACGGGCTTCCAATCAATTTAAACCTTTTATCAGAACTCCTACTATCCATTGGATCTATTACAGTACTAATTAAACTCAAAATGCATGTTTCCTTCTAAACAGAGGCTGTATATGTAAAAAATATGAAACTTCTTCAATAAACCCACCCATCATGTAAATCACTGGCCAAAAAATGTGTACATGTATGCATGATCAATGTGATTTGAATCTTGTGCAATTAACTAAAAATATCTGTCTTCCTCTATCAATAGGCTTTCTTGTATATAAAATAAAATAGAAAAACTTGCAAGTAAAACATTACTTGATGTTGTATTATAAAAGTGCAAGGGGACAAATAACCCAACTGTACAGGTTGGCAAAGTGAAACACACTAATACTACACAGTGCCCTCTATTTTAGATGCAAAATCTAATAAAACTTCCTATTCGCTAGAACTTACCTTTCAAAATAAACAAAATTAAGCAATTTAAAGTAAACTGGTGTCAAATATTTCTTTGGACTAATGATACAAAATTTTAAAAGAAATTAAATGTATGATTTTCACTCAATACTGTTCATTTAAAAATTCTGTGCAGTGCATAATCACAAAAGATAAACAAATTTGTAAAAATAAATAAATAAATAAATCCTCCCGAGTACTAAGTATACTTAATACCAATACTACTTCTCCATTAAATCTCCAAGAATACTGTGACCTGTAAAATATTCCTTTTTTGTGCCACTGCAATGATATTTGGCTAATCCAGAGAAAAAAAAGAGCAATAACAAATTATTTCTAATTTCCTTCAGCTTCTGAAAATTTGCAATTTAATAACTGAAAATGTCACTCAATTCACAAAATAATGTGTATCTATACGAGTGCAATTTTTTTATGATTTCCATTTCAAGCTTTATTCAAGACGTATTCAAATAAATAATAATAGGGTTATTGTTCCTGACAGGGAAGGACCTCCTTAACACATGCAAAATCTTCTTTCAACTTTTAATTGCAAAAAGGATGAGCAGATTCTGAAGCATAAGTGTGTATATAAAGTTTTTGCTAATGATGGAAATATCTGCACATTTAGAAAAAAATCACCACCATGATGTCTGTGAGCGAATGCTCATTAATAATAGCCCTGCTCTGATGTGAATAAACCCTCTCATGTTGACATTGAATTTGTACAAAAATGAATCCCACGTGACCATATGACATGCCTCAACAAAGAGTGTGCTAAAATTTCAAGCATCTGCGATGATTAGTTGTTGAGAAAACTGGGACAGAAATTTAGTACAGACAAACAGGAAGTTGACATCTGATTTCAACAAAAAAGAATCCAAATATATGGCATGCCTGAACAAAGAGTGTGCTAAAATTTCAGGTATCAGCAATTAGTATGTAGTTGATGAGAAAACTGCGATGAAAATTTGGTACCAACAGACACACGGATAAACAGGAAGTTGACATCAGATGTGAACAAAAATGATCTTTCCATAAAGCATGCCTACACAGAGACTGCGCTAAAATTTCAAGTATCTGTGATGAATAGTTGCTGAGAAAACTGGGACAGAAATTTGGTACGGAGAGATGCACAGATAAAAAGGAAGTTGACATCGGATTTGTACAAAAATGAATGCTACCATATGGCATGCCTAAACAAAGAGTGTGCTAAAATTTCAAGTATCTGTGATGAGTACTTGCTGAGAAAACTGTGATGAAAATTTGATACAGACAGACACACAAGGATTAAACAGTATGCCCCCTCTCCTTCAGAGTGGGGGTATAAATTAATCATTGCTGCACAATGGAAAATTGCAAAATGTATTCAACAATTCAGTGCAATTGATTTTCTTCCCCATTGCTGTAACCATGGGATGTTTGATCACAGATAGTTTTTTTTTAAAGCAAAAAATATTTCAGGTCAAGTAGATATTACAGTCTTAAACAGAAATCTCAAATGAAATATAATTTAAATAATTCTTTTTAAAAAAGCACCAAATATGATTTAATCTTTAGCATACAATTTTCAATGAAGATAGTTTATTGTTACAATATAACACTATAATCAAGCAACAATACAACACAACAACAACTAAATGAATCTTTTTATTTATTATTCAGCAGAATACTATGGTATGTATGTTCAAATATACTGGATCCCATAATACTGGCTGCATCACTACATTAATCATATCATGCTTTTCTTTTTCCTCGTTATACTTTTTTCTCCTCAGTCTGTACATTTCGATTATTATTCATCAATAAAATATATATCCTGTATTCTAAATTGTTTTGCCATATCATATATCTAGAGTTGGGTAGACCCAATACATTTTATTTCCATTAGCGAACTCTTCAAAATTAGAGGCGTGTTTGGTCATCTGACTGGAACAGCATGGCCTTGTGGATAATAAATAACATGCCAATCTCAATCCAAATTTAAATGTTAAATCTATTTGTCATTCCAATCAATGAATAGAAGAACTAAAAGACATGTAAGAGAGTGAAAACGCTAAATTTATCATCCATTAATAAAAAAAATTATGACATTTCCAAGGCATGTGTATTGTATTTAGAAGTACCATACGATAAATAGAGATATACGATCAACAATAGATATAAATTGATATCATTGTTATTCCTACTCTTAATGTATGTATAAAATCCACAACAATAAAATATTTCATTTGCATTTTGTTAGGATTTGTTCATCGACATTCAACACACTGTTTACATGTTTATGTTAAAGTTTGTCCCAGAAATCCCGCGAGATTTGTACATTTTCCGACGTTTACACAAAAGAGCACACAAGGAAGCGTAACTTTTCCATAGTGGAAATAGAAGGTATTCACAGTGCGGCTTCCATTGTGCATTTTTTAAAGCTTTGTGAATATACACAGGTATCTGCACACGCATCGCGTTAAGATGAATTGCTCCGTTTAGTAAATCGTCAGATTTAATCGGCGATACTGATTGCAGAATGACTGTTAAATTCATGATAAATTTGCAAAATTTCAAAGGCTTCAAAAAGTTTACAGTCAACTCAAATGAGCAAATGAAAACATCGCATCTCCATCATTGAATCGGTTCGATATTTAATGCATGTTTAAAATATTACCTCTATAAATGAACGAAAATAAACCAGGTATCTTAATTAAAGTCAGAGCTGGATCTGTTCTTTAATTCTGTCTTTTTTCCCAACGCAACGTGGCTGTGAAAAACAAAGAGCCTCGTTCTGATATCGGATATGGTAATATTCGGAATAACGATCCCGATCGGACAAAAATCTAAAGACTATGGAAAAAACAACAGCGTGACTAAAACATACAGCGGTCTTTCAAAAAGAATATACAACATTAAATAATGTCATTTAAAGGTATAAACAATTACAGGTATTAACAATTACAACACCATGATCAACAAAAAAAAGGGGGGGGGACTGATTGCACAATCTCTGTTTTGAGCCCAGTGTTGTTTTGGCATAAAGAAAAGTCAGAAAGTCATAAAGTCAAAAAAATTTGAATCTGCACTATGTCAGAAAATTTTCAGAGAAGATTTCTCAATTTTGATCCAGTAGCTTTCAAGAAAAAATATATATTCCAATGTAAAAATATGACCCCCTATTGTGGCCCCACCCTATCCCTGGGGGCCATGATTTGAACAATTTTAAAATCTACATTACCCAAGGATGCTTCCAGGTAAGTTTCATCTTTTCTGGTCCATTGGTTCTTGAAAAGAAGATTTTTAAAAGATTTTTTCTACATATTTCAGTGTAAAATTTGGATTCCCTTTTGTGGCCCCGTCCTATCCCCAGGGGTCATGATTTGAACGATTTAGAATTTACACTACCCAAGGATGCTTCCACATAGCCTTCAGCTTTTCTGGCCCATTGGTTTTTGAGAAGAAGATTTTTAAAGATTTTTTCTACATATTTCAATGTTAAATTTGGATTCCCTATTGTGGCTCCGTCCTTTCCCTGGGGGTCATGATTTGAACAATTTAAAATCTACACTACCCAAGGATGCTTCCACATAAGTTTCAGCTTTTCTGACCCAGTGCTTCTTGAGAAGAAGATTTTTTAATGACTACACCATATTTTTGTTTTTTCTTAATTATCTCCCCTTGGAAAGGGGCTTGGCCCTTCATTTTAACAATTTAAACTCCCCTTCACCCAAGGATACTTTGTACCAACTTTGGTTAAAATTGGCTCAGTAGTTCTTGAGAAGAAGTTCAAAATGTGAAAAGTTTACAGACGGACGGACAGACGGACGGGCGGACTACGGACAACGGGTGATCAGAAAAGCTCACTTGAGCTTTCAGCTCAGGTGAGCTAAAAAAGGAGTAAAATTCAGATTTATTTAAAGAATGATAAGGCCTGTTTAAGGATTAATTTCCTTAATATTACCTTAAAATGAATGGTATATTGAAAATTTTGTACAAACTTAACTGTACAAAGTGCACTGATATGTACTTAAGTAAATTGTTTTGTCCAATTAGCTATTTGAAATAATTATTTTTTTCATGTTATATAACCTTTTATCGTGGAAAGACTGTATTGATATTATAATTGGTTTCTTCTATAAGTATTGATATACATGTAATTGTTGCTATAAAGAGAAAAGATATTCAAAGTTGTGGTGTATGTGCCTTTTATTTAATATTAAATAATGTTCATATATTTTATAAAGTCTTTTTTGTAAATCGGACCAGACTACAATAATTTTTTAACCATATATCTTTCGTTCCTCTTCTATTGACTGTGTCAGTAACTTGTATTTATTTTTCCTCGGGATTTTTCTAGATGGCAATGTTGATCCTGGGGCAAGAACTTAACATGTAGTTTGTGAATTTATAGTTAAATTTAATATTTCCGGATGTTTACATATAAGAATCATATAGATGACCTGATTCCAATCTATTTTTAAGTGATATGCACCACACACACACACACACACACACACACTCTCTCTCTCTCTCTCACACACACACACCCTCACACACACACACCCTCCCCCCCCCCCCCTCACCACACACACACACCCACACACAGATATATATATATATATATATATATATATATATATATATATATATATATATATATATATATATATATATATATATATATATATATATATATATATATATATATATATATATATATATATATAACAACATTGCCTTCATTTTTAACAAAAATTTCACTAATTTGTTCATTTGTTAAGATCATTGTGATTTGAAAGTGGAGTTAATTTGAATTTTACCATATATATGCTGAATGAAGTGAATATAAAGACAATACATTGATAAGAAGAACTTAAAAAAGAAATAGATGTATTGAATGCTGAAAAATATGAAAATGATACTTTAAATGATTCAGAAAACTTTGTACATATTGAAAAAAATGTAGATTTTAGAGATAGTTCAAAGGGCAGACCTTACAATTTTAAGTTAAGAAAGTTATATTATTTTTTTATCAGTAATAATATTGGTGTGCAGCATATTTCTCCTGTTGTTGAAGCTGTTTTAAATATTTTTGACATTAATGTAAGAAATTTACCAAGTAAAAGTACAACTGCAGTTTTATCAAGTGAAATGGGTGTCGTGTCAAGGAATCATATGAAAGAAGAGCTTTTAAACAGTGAAAATATAACAATGCATAGAGATGCAACTACAAAAAAAGGGAAACATTTTTATGCCTTACAATTTAATACAGGAAATAAATTTTTAACTGGTGGTATTAGAGAAGTGTCTGATGGCAAGGGAGAAACTTATGTTAATAGTACTAAAGAAATGTTATATGATATTTCAGGTAAAGAAAGTGATCAAAAAAGTATTTTAGAATCTGTATCTTGTTTTATGACAGATAGAAGTTCTACTGAACAAAAAGTTAATTGTATTTTATCAAGTGAAATTTCTCATGATGTTCATTCTTTTAAATGTTCTGTGCACCCTCTTTTACAATTTTCAGATGTTTGTTTACAAGAATTTTATGATATTGAAAAAGAATTAAATATTCATTTTGATGGACATTGTAGTACACCAAAGGATCCTTATGTTATGTTTATTTTAAGATGTGTATCAAAATTGTTTTTTAAAGATGGAGTGGGTGATCCACATTTTACTCGTATATTTGTTAGAAGTCATGGAACAGACAAAGTCCCTCTTATGGACACAAGAGGAAATCGTTTTAATTTGTGTTTTTATAATGCTGCTGGTGCATTTTTTATTCATAAACTTCTATTACAATATCTTTTATCCTCAAAAAGTTCTTTTAATTTTGTTATGAATGCTATTGTTTCTGCATTGCAGAGCAAATTATTTTTAACAATTTTAAGAGCTCTTGGTATTATTTGTAAATTTTTAACTGAACCATACTGGAAAAAGACTTTGGAAGTATCGAGTATTGCAAATATGAGCACTGTCTATCAGAGATTTTTATATGTTTTAAATGTTATTAATGAAAACCCTTCTGTATTGTTGAATCGGGAAATTAAACTATTTGAAGGTCCAGATTTTTATGATCCTGTGTGTGATTTTTTATACTCTGTGTCAGTAAATGATGATCTTACCTGTGTTTTTATTAAGAGATGTACTACTGTTTTAATAGCCAAGGCAAAGAAGTTGTTTGCAGATTTTTTAGATGGAGGGAAATATTTTAATGCATGTTCAAAGAATTTTTTTAAAGAATGTTCATCCTGTTCTACAAATAATATCAGTATTGAAAGACTAATGGGTCAATTAGATTTTAAAGTGAAATATGCTGCCACATCATCTGTAAATACTATTGAGAGTGTTTTAATGTTTAACAATAATGATACTATAAATTGGTTGGCAAAGAAAAGTGAGGATAATCAGAGACAAATTATTAATAATGCAAGAAAAGAAAGTAGAACATTTTTATTAGAAAATAGAAGAAGAAAAGAAGATTTATTACAGAAACATTTACAAATTATAAGAGAAAAGGAGGAAGAGACAAAGAAGAAGAAGGAACGACAGACTGAAGCAATTGACAAGGCATTAGAGGATATTAATATTCATGGACTGTGGCAATCGGAGGAGGAGATAAGTCATAGATTAAGTCAACTAAAAACAAAGAAAGAGAAAATGACAGCCTTGAAGACCCAGATTAATATATATAAAAAGGTTTTTAGAGTGGAGAAAGAGTTGAAACATTTATTGTGTTTTAGTAAAAAAGGAAAAGTGTTTGATGAAAAAAAATTAAAAGAAAATTTAATAACGCTATTAAAAGAAAGGAAAAACCAACAAGAAAGCAATACATGTACCACCAATCCTGAAGACTTTGTCTTAAGAGATATATATCATACATGGACTGATAATGGAGAGGATGTAGAATGGGAGGGGCAGATTTTAAGCTACAGCAATGGAGTGTTTAAAATAAAGTCAATTAAAAAGAGTTACATAATTAATATCACTTTATTTAAAATTCACAAAATAATATTGCAACATTTGAAATAAATGTTGCAATTTTACATAAAATATAGCCATTAAATTATAAGAGAGGTATGTAACACTTTGAACGTACCAGAATTATAATGATTTATATACAGTTCATTTCTTGTGTATTTTTTTAAAATTTTATTTCAATCTATGAAAACTTTTCAGTTTGATGTAATGAATAATTTACAATGTTTGCATATAATGATTGAAGGAAAACGTCAAGTTACATACCCCGGTACCTCTTGCTCTGAATATTTATGGTTTCAGGGTTTTCTTCCTTTTATTTTAAATTAACATTATGAACTATATGTTTACAAACCCATTGATTTAAATGTTTTTCTTAAAATGTATTATGTTGTTGATTTTAAGATAAATTTAACTGCTATGAAATTTTTTAGAAATGGGTTTATAAACAAGGAATTTGATGCATGATGTAATGATATATGAAGGATTTGTAATGATGCCTATATACACCCATACTTTTATGACAGCATGTCACAGCTTGCAGATTTTAATTTTTATCCTTAATCTAAGATTCATTGACTACAAACACAAATACTGTGAATTCATAGAAATAGGAAATGTTTTATTGGTTCCCCAGCTATATATATATATTATGATATTTGGATACCCATAAATTAAAAAAAAAAAGATATAGCAAAGTATTTTGACAGGTCCAATGGAAATGATTATAAGTGACTTTTACTGTATTTATATTGACAAAGTCTAACATACTTATTTCCCATTGGATAAAGAGTGTTTGTCCTTTAACATGTTTAAAAAAAATAAACACAATGTAGAACACTTATATATGTTATGAACACTACTTAAAATGTTTCTGTCTTTATGTTCTTGTCTTTGTGAAATGTGACTGTACATGTATATGTGAATGTATAACAAATGTAAATCTATATGAACTATGTAAATTTAAAATATAATGGTTTATTGAAATCATACAAATGCAAAATAATACATGAAGAATAAGACATAAATGAGTTTCACATATTACCATTATTGCATCAGTGACTATAATTTCATTCAAGTTAGTACAGATATATATGCTAATATCTATATATTTATTGAATTTAGGTTATGTACTGGAATGATAGTGAGAAGACAGACAGTAGCATATTTGAGCTAACAGAAAGAGAAATTAAAACAGACATCAAGGAAGGAAATTTATTTTTCAAAGGTAAGTTTCAAATACATTTTAATTTAATTTTAAATAAACATTAAGATGATTGACAAAAATTAATGCTTTTATGTTTATATATTAAAATGCCTATTTATGTTTTAGACACAGCAGCAAAATTGGATCACAGTTATACCACATTTTGAAGCAGACTATAAGGTATGTCATACAGAGCTACCTTCAAACTGCTGATTAAATTTATTAGAGTTATTCCCCTTTGGTAACATTAATAGTGTGATTCTATTCATATATAAATTTAATTTGCATATTAATTTGCAAGCAACCAATGAAAATCTCTTTATTTATAACTATCTTACACACATACAAACAATATTATAATAATTTAGAATTAAAAAAAATCATTTCTTATTTTTAGGTGGAATAGCTACGTTCGGCCTAGCTTTGAAATTAAACGTAATAGGGTGTGTTATGGGGGGATAATGGTAGGGAACTGTAAGGAAAAGACTTAGGACATGATGCCATAGATAATCAAGGTAAGGATTGGGGTTTATGGGTCTCGCACATATATTTATGTGCATGATTCAAATGTTGTTATAGAGGAAATTCGGGTAACCCTACGATTATACATACAAACATGTTTACACAATAGTACTAACGATAGTATAGTGATATTTCCACATCGGACATACAAAGAAATGAGATAATATAATATTCATTACATAATATATAATTATAAGGACGAATATAACATGACTGGGGTGGTATAAACGTAACACTAGTTATTCCAAATAATTTTGTAATCTGTTATATTTCGAATGCTTGAGGTCCCTCCATATATAACTCTTCATTTTGTGGACCCTCCTATCATTTAAAAGGAAATGGTCAGTGAATTTGAATTATTTTGACGAGATGATGTAGGTAACAGATTATGGTTCAGGTTTGTTATAAATTTACTTTCTCGCGTATTTCGATGTGCATGCGTTACAAGACCTTTTTGTTGGTAAAAAAAAAAAGATTTCATAAATATTCATGATCGAGGAATCTCATGTGACATTCATTCGATTAATAAAATGTAGATGGAACTTGCTGAACGACATGTTATTTACCCACATAAGCATGTTTTAATCATAGTGATATCCATTCACGAATTTATTTCTGTAATTTATTGTGTACTCATGCTGTCTCGCTGTTTTTCTTTCATACATCGCTAGATCTTTTGAGGTAGCAAATTCATGTAGTAACTTTAATTTTTCGTTTTCTTTTTTTGTGATCCAAGATTTTTATTTTGCGATTTTAAGATTCGCCATTAGTTTGGCTAACAAGGATAAATATAATAATGCCTTATAGTTTTATTTCTTTGATATCAAAATCTTATACGTGAAAAGAAGAAAACACTTGCTGTAGCCCTCAACTCGACATTTAGATATATCGACGACGTATAGTCAATTAATAATGATTATTGATACGATATATCCCGGTGAGCTTGAAATAAAAGATTCCAAAGAGTCCGACACATCTGTTTCATATTTGGATATTTAACTGGAAAAAGACGTTAATGGTAATCTAACAACAACGCTTTCTGATAAACGTGATGACTTTAACTTTTCAATCGTCAACTTCCCTTACTGATGCAGCAATATACCTCCATCACCTGAATACGATTTCTAAAACAAGTTATTGACAAACAAATTGATGAAACACGAATAATTACAGTCTCGTTTAAAGTCGTCATTTCGTAAGCTCTATGGTCGATACAATGACCTTGTCAGCAAATACAAAGTTTTTCATATCAATTTGTTAGATCATTATTTACACACTGAATTGTTGACTTTTTTTTCCCCATTATTTCCCGATCATGACAAGGAGCACAAGGAGCACATGGCGGGTGTGACCGGTCGGCAGGGGATGCTCACTCCTCCAAGGCACCTGATCCCACCTCTGATGTGTTAGAGGTCCGTTTTTTCTCTGCTCCAAAATTTGTATTGTTACATGGACTTTTGAGATTGAATACTGTTCGTCATCTCCATATATTTAATATCACTATTATTCTAATTTAAAATTACAGAAATTTTAATTTTTTTTGGGACAGATGGAAACTATGCCTGGACTTCACAATCCTTATTACACATGGAGATAATCCAGCTTTCAAGTCCGATACCTAAGAACCTAAAGGTACGGAAGCTAGGGATTGGAGGGGTAGGGGCTTATACATGAAAATATTCTTAAAATTTTATGCATGCTTCAGAACATATCATGAAAGTTGGGCAATTCATTTTCTGTCGTTTCTGCGTAAATGAAATTGTCTTTTAAATAAATATTATTTTTTTTACATAGTTATATATACAACGTTTTGTGCTTTCTTTCCTCAAGAATTTTTTAATTCAGAAATCTAGAATCAATAATTTTTCAATGTGTGATGAACTTACTAAGAAAGAATAATTCTTCTGTTTAAACATCATTTATAAATCATACTTTAATAAAAAGTTGTGTATATAAAATGCTTGATTTTTTTTCTTGCTGAGATATAAGATTTCATGGGTGTGCTTCTGTGGTTAATTCTTGGGTAATGCAAACCTTTGTCATGAAGAAAAAAAATCGTAGAAACTTTGACTGACTATAAATTATTGAATCTGAGGAAAAGTTTTGGTAAAACCTAAATAAGGAATTTCGAGGGGAGCGATTGTGTGCAAAGCTGTGTCTCTCCTGCTTTTTCACTATAAAACTATGATTTTGACTTTATATACGCACTCAGTGCTTTGATTTTAGCTACTAGTATATTGAATCTTGGAAACAAATGCGAGCCCCCCCCCACCCCCACCCCCCCGCCCCTCGAAAAAGTAGCCTTACAAGCATTTAAAAAGGGGATCTTTTCATTTACTGAGAGCATACTACGCATGTTGATCTGTAGGGATATTGAACGATAAAGACATTAAAATGCTTCTTTAATCGAGCGAATTTTTCCTTTCCAAAAGAGACAAATTGGAGAAAGGAGCTGTACATTTGCAATGTAGTGTTTAGATTTTATTCCAGGTTATTTTTTTTTTTAATAAAACTTTTATCCACCTTGTATTGGAATTCTTTAATAAACTGACAAACTCTCACTGATGAATTTAGACGTACCTGTAGCGAGCGCTAGAAATACTACTAAGAGCCAGGTCACCCTCCAATACATGTACTTCATTTACATTTGTGAAATAATATAAGGGTATTTCAGAAGGAAAGAAATTTACAAATTCTATCGTCAGAGAATTAATTTGTAATGTTGAATATTACATGTGCGTAAGTTACCAACATCCTTTTTTAAAATGTTAAATTTGTGTCCAGCGTATACCCATGTGACATATCTTGCAACGAATTTATTTCGTTGTTAAATTTTTTTTTTGTTCGTGGCCACGAATTAATAAAAAAAAAATTCAAACCATGTTCTATACCTGCTGCCTTAAAGACTTATGAGGGACTACCCAAAATTTTAAGTTTTCACACAAATATGTAGAATATGTTTAATGTCTTCTTCTGAAAACAAACAAGTTATATTGGTTAAACGTCAAATATTTCTATAAATGCCATGCAAATTAAAATTATGTAGTATTATTAGTTTCAGAAAATTAAAGTACATTAAATTCATGAAAAAAAAAAAAACGGGTTCACGAAGACTGATTATGAGCTACGTGTACATTTACCGAGCTTCTGGATTTATAATACAATGCAACATAATTTAAGACTATTTAGAGCCCAAAATTCTTAAGCTTATATCTAAATTCACAGAAAAAATACTAGACACATAATGCTAATTTTCACCAGATTTGTCACCTTCTAGGGTACAAAACTTTTCTTCCGCCATCATGAGTTTGACTTGGTGAATCATTAATTTGTTTTGATCTATTTGCTATGGCTTATATCTGATATAAGTTAGTTATAGTTAGAGTAATATTTTATCAAGATATATTCAAAGCTAGGCTGAGTGATATTTTATCAAGCAATTGCATATTTGAGAGAGAGAGAGAGAGAGAGAGAGAGAGAGAGAGAGAGAGAGAGAGTTCATTGAAATATGATACCAAATATGTACATGTAACCATATTAACATGAATCAGAGATATTTTTTTCTTAAAAGGAAAATAAAAATCAACAGCTAAAACATTGAAATCAGTATCATTATCATTGGTCAATAATACTTTATTTGTATTTAAGTTAAATTTAAAACTAAGGGATCTAGACTATATTTCTTCGAGCTTCTTGATACATTAAAAAATACTTAAAGGACCAAAGCCATTG